CGCCCTGAGCCCCAGGATGAAGGGCGTGGGCACAGCCTCTCTTTCTGATGGCTAAGATTTTCCAAGCATGACATGTGCACTGGTCACACTTCCAGTGGTGCCCTGGGCTCTCAGTGCAAGGTGAGGTCCCTGGCTGCAGCTCCAGGCTCTTGTAATGTGAGAAGCAACAAACACAAACTGAGAGGCAGCTGACCTTGGCTTCGTTGGAGGGCAGGCGGGAGGGGCTGTCAAGCCCAGTCTCTTGTGACTTTCCCAACCAGAATGAGGGCACAGAGCCCTCACCTTGGGATCAGAAGACCTGGGCTGGAGTCTTGGCTCTGCTGTGGAGCGTTGGTATGGCAGACCCTGTTCCCTGGCTAACTTAGCCAATACCCCAATACCCTTCTCCTCTGCCACTTGTTCCCCAGGCTCCCTTGCAGCTGGGGTTGGCCATGTGACAGGCTCTGGCCAATGGGATGTAAGCAGAAGTCTGCTCGGGGCTTCTGGGAAAACATGTGCTTTATCTGATGTGGCTATTAAGTGGCCTTTTTCCCTCCCCACTTCTTTCTCTTTCTATCTTGAATGCAAACATGATGGCTGGAGCAATGGTAGTTGACTGGTGACCATGCAGCAACAAGACTGAGAGGAAGGCTGGGAGAAAAGCAGAGACGCCAGGTCTGTCACTGTGGTGCTCAACCTGTTCTTAGCTGATGTCTTTGGGTGGGTTAAGTGACTGAGTCTCGTTCCTTATGCTATAAAGTGTGGCTGATTTCACCCTCCTTCCTTTTGGTGTAGGGGTGAGGATGGAATGAGTGTAAGCACATGTTCTGGGTGTTCTGGGAGTGTGCTTGGCAAACAGAAGCTGCTTAATAAATACCAGCGTAAAATCAAAAGGCTTTCTGGAAGATGTGCCTTCTAATGCTCAGCATAGCTGCCCCCTGCAGGCCTTACCTGGCTGGGGCGCACTGTACAGATCTTCCTGCAGGAAGGGCATGGAACTGACCACAGAGGGGGCTCGGGCAGGGTACACAAACTCCGTGGCCGCGAAATCCCCAGAGGAGCTGCTGAGGATGAACAGGCGGGGTGCGAAGTTAAAACTTCCAGGATCTTTGAAAGAAAAGAGAACAAAGCTGAAGATATCGTGTGCATCCAAGTAAATTCCAGATGAAGAATGAATGTAAAATACGAAATAATTCAAAGCATTGTGGAAGCACAGGTAGGATTTATCTGAGCTTCAAGGTGGAGAAGGCCTTTTAGCAATTGCAATAGTAAAAGAACAAATCAAAAGGAAAAATAATGCATTGATTATAGAAAAATGAAAAACAACAATGCAAAATTAAAAAGAAAAGAAAAGCCAAGTAACAAATGGGAAATATTTGTAATACAGCAACTAGTTAATATCCTTAATACATGAAGGGACATACATAAGGAAAAAATAATAAAATGTACAAAAGACACAAATAGAACACTCACCAAAGTAGAAACTAAAATGGCTAAAAAATATAGATACATATGCATATATATACACAGATATATGTATGTGTATATCACACATTATGTATATAAGTATACATATATATGTACTTCCAAGTAAAACAAAACAATGCTTAGCTATCTGTGTCCTTTCATCAATTTGGCAAAGAGGAAAAAGATAATATGTTGAATTTATGATTGTGTTGAGAAATGAACGCTTTTGTATATTGCGAGTGAGAATAAAACTTGGCCCGAGCTGATACATGCTATCAGACTTTCATGATGAGCACGGCAGTTCCACATCTAGGAATTCCTCTCAATTAGGAATGAATGTATAGGATTATTTTAAAAAGTATTCAAACTGCATTATTATATAAGGGAGAAAAATCAGAAACAAGAAACAACTCAACTTCCCAGCTGCCAGAGACTGTCAGGTAGAGAGTGGCATATATTCACAGAATAATAGAATATCTCACAGCCATTAGATATCTAAATTTTAATAACTTGGGAAATTATTCATAATAAAGGAAAAAAGCAGGTTACAAAACAGTAGATCCACATATTATTTTTTAAAATAGATATTATATTACAGCATAGAGAAATATGAATTCTGTTACATCTAAGAAATGTGGTTATAAGTGACTTCATTTCTTTTTTTAACTTCTCCATAATTTCAAACGTCTTCTAGGCATTATGTTTAAAAAGCTATATAAAAGTTTATAAACATTGAGGGGCAGAGTATTATGAAGCAGTTATGAGGATACTCCATTGCTGCCCAGCCTTGGGCAACTTGATTAACTTCTGTATTCCTCAGTTTCCTCATCTGTAAAAATGGCACAGTGTTGGGTTGTACTAACGGAGTTACTATATGTAAGGTGTTGGCTGGTGTCTGGTTTGTTGGAACTGCTTCACAAAAGTTCACTTTCCTTCTTATGTTCATCTGTATTTTGAGAACAGCTGGGAAAGCGCCCATATACACACCTAACCTCACCCCGGTGAACGGGAGTGCCTATTCTATACAGACACGGCCTTTGTATTTCCAAGCAGGTTAATGACTGAAGGGCTCTGGAAAGGGGATAAGAGGTTGGCTTCCTTCCCCAGGTCTCACTCCAACACCCAGAGGACTGCTGTTTCTCAGGTGGCAGCTATGAGGAAAGAAAGAAAATGGTGCCCTGAGTCCCTAAGACCCTGGAAGATGGCTTGGTCCCCAGGAAGCCTTGGGAGCTGATTCGCCAGTGGGAATTTGAAGTCTTGGTGTCCAAGTTAAACTCACCCCCGGAAAGAAAAATACTGTTCAATCAACTGGACATAATACTCATCACACTAGATTTCAGACAGACTGAAGAATTAAGATAAAACATGAATTGTGGCTCAAGCCTGCAATCCCAGCATTTTGGGAGGCTGAGGCAGGCTAATCACTTGAGCCCCGGAAGTTGAAGCTGCAGTGAGCTGTGATCGCACCACTATACTCCAGTCTGGGTAACAGAGCAAGACTCTCGTTTCCAAAAATAAACCAAAAAGCCAGATCGCAGGCTGTGGATGCCACATTACCTTGAAGCATGCAATCATAGGCTTTCCTGTCTCTCCTTCCCAAGGCGTCCCAGAATCCGAGTGGCTCGGAGCCTTCATCACACTCGTGTATTGTGACTTTGCTGCTACTATGCAGTCCTGCTTCCAGAGGGCATCTGCAAGGGAGAAAGTCCAAGAGTTCTTTATAAGTCTGGAGAGCGCTGGCGACCCAAAATTATTATTACTATTATGATAACAGCTTTATAATAGCTTTATTGAGATATAATTCACATGTCATAAAATTCACTCTTTTTATGTGTACAGATTTTAGTATATTCACAGAGTTGTGCAACTGTCATCACTAATTTCAGTACGTTTTCATCTCCTGGAAAAGGAAGCCCTGTACCCATTAGCAGTCACTCTGCATTTCCCCCATCCTTAGTCCTCAGAACCCACTAATCTACTTCTGTATTTATGGACTTGCCTATTCTGGACATTTCATACAGATGGAATTATATATGTTCTTTTGTGACTGAGTTTTTTAACTTAATGTGATGTTTTTAAGGTTCATCCATGTTGTAGTATGTATCAGTACTGAATTCTTTTTTATGGCAGCATAATATTCCAGTGTATGGCTTTGCCACATTTTTTTCATCCATTAATGTGTTGGTAGATATTTGGGTTATTTCCACTTTTTGACCACTATGACTAACATTGCTATAAACCTTCATGTACAAGTGTTTTCATTTCTCTTGGGTAGATATATAGGAGTAGAGTTGCTAGTCATATGGTAACTGTATGGTTAAATCTTTTGAGAAATTGCTAGACTGTTTTCCAAGGTGGCTGTACTGTTTTACAACCTCCCCAGTAATGTGTAAGGGTTCCAATTTTCACATCCTTGCCAATACTTGTTACTGTCTGCTTTTTTAAAATTTAAAATTTAAATATTTGTGGGTATATACTAATAGTAGGTACATATATATATGGGGTACAGACATAAAATTATTCAAAACTAAACCTGGAGATCAGTTCACCGTCTCTTCTGCTTTCTAAGGAAAAGCAATTCTTCCTCATGAATGGAAAAGTGCTCTGCGGTTTATGAGTGTGTGTGGTGCAGGAGGGGAAGTTGACTTGCCCCTAGGGAGGGATGTTTAATCACATCTAATGTGTCATGAAAATTACACACATTTTTATATAGAACAAGACATATTGACTATTTCTTGTCTTTCTCTCCTGCTAGAACATGAACTTTATGAGGACAGAGACTTGGGCTTATTCAACACTAAGTCCCCAGTTCCTGACTCCAGTCCTTCGGGAGTTAGAAGCAGGTTGCCCAAAGTTTGTGTTGTAGAAAAACCATTTTTCCAAGATTTATAGGATAAGTCCTGTACGTCCAGATTGCTTGGCGCCATCGGGTACTCAGTAAATGTTTACTGAGTGAATATGTGAATGAGCTCTTCGTTGTTTTTCTTTTCCTCAGTGGTCCAAGTAAACCCTCTGATGGGCCCCAAATGCCTTGGGCCACCTCAGAGCACGTGATTTCTCACCCCTCCCCCTGCCCTAGCCCACAAGTGGTGTTTTCAGATGAAACATCTTGTTTCACATCTGCCTCCCTGTGGAGAGGTGACCTGCTCTGTTCTCTTCTCTGCCCTCTCTGTGTAGTGTGTTTTCAGAGCAGACACAGGGGCCCCGGCCACTGCCCTGTTCCAGAACCCAGAGAATGGGGTTCACCAAATCAAACTCTGGTGGCATGTTGTGCCCCTAGGAAGCTCTTCACTTTTACTCACTGAGGTCCTCACAGGTCTCAGTTGCCTCCTGAATGCCTGGGTGACACCGGGCTTCTTTGGCAGCTTGCAATGTTTATTTTGCCTGTGTGGCTTGAAAGCACAGAGCCACGGCGGCAGACCATCCTAGCGGGGGGCCGGCCACCACAGCGTCCTCCCTGGGCTGTGGCCTTCACTGCCCTTCTGGTTCCCCTCTTCCCCAAGATCCCGACTCAGTGCTGTCTCACAGTGTGCTGAGCCTTTGCAAGTGGCCAAGGGCAGGTGCCTGCCTGGGAGGGGAAGAAAACCCAACTCGGAAGTGCTGTACCCGGGAAGTGCCCAGAGAGTCCGATCCCTCCCCATTAGGGGCTGCTCTCCAGAATGGGGGACATCTTATCGTCTGACACAGGTGGCAGTTTCCCACCCTCATCTTTAGCTTTTTAACACTCCGCTGTTCTGGCAAACGAAAACTCAAAATCCCTAACAGATATTTGAAATATGCTCCCTTTAAATATCAAAGGCCCCCAGGCTTCTCATCCAAAAGCAGAACGGCAACTCAGAGTGCTCGCGAGAGTCACTCCCTGGTGCCTCACCTGCATTAGCTCACCCAGCCAGGTAAATCCTCAGACCGCGAAAGCGGCCTCAAGTCAGAGGTCTGGACTGAGATGTGTGTCCTCTCTGCTTGGCATGTCCGAGGCCCCCGACCACGTTCCCAGCCATCCCTTGCTGCAGTCACTTTCAGCAGCCTGGGATCTGCTGGGAGTCTTGGTAGCCCTGAGCCTGCCCCGTCCCTCTGGGAAGCCCGGTGTGTGGGGGCCTCGTCACAGACACAACACTCACTGTTCCTTGATCTTGTTCGCGGCGGTCCTTCCGACCTCCTTCGTGTGGGCCTGGGCTTTGCATCCATGCCACAGGTAGATGAGGGCCTTGTTGACGTTGAGCACCACCATGGAAGTCCTGGACCTCAGGCTGCTACAGTGACAGGCCACTTCCAGCAAATTCCCTTCCACGGGCACCTCTCCGCGCACGCAGTACAGCCGCCACTCACCTGCAGGGGGCACCAGCGGTGCGGAGGAGTCAGGACGTGAGCAAGTGGCAGCGAACGCCGCCCTTCCTGGTGCCCGCTGTGCCGCCCACGGCAGCCACCTCCATCCAGGGCCAGGGACTTAGGGGACTAGAGGGGCTGAGGCACTGCGCAGGGAGCCCTGCCAAGCACTGAGGCATCAGGCCTTCCTGCCACCCCCAAAAGTGGGTTCTTAGGTAGTTAGAAGCAGGTGATCTGAAGTTCACAATGTAGAAAAATCATGTTTCCAAGATTTATACAACAAGTTCTATAACAGGCACACTTTAAAAGGCTCTAGAGCTAAGATTTTTTTTTTTTTGTGGGGGGTGCTGGTCAACAAAATTTTCATAATTTATAATAGAAGAACCACTGATTTTTCTTTCCTCCTAAAAAGAGCAGACAGAGGAGGGGAGACCACCTTCCAGCCTCCTGCGTGCAAAGGTGAATCCTCGAGTAAATCCTCCAGAGAGAGGCGGATCACAAACACCCATAGAGCTGAGTTATCAGGCAAACCTCAGGAGGCTTTCAGAGGTAGAGCCACAACTAGATGAAGACAGACTCACTTTCAGCCCCCAGCTTATAAAAATTCCTTCCAAGAGAGGGAAAGGCAAAGTCGAATTCCAGCAGTAAAAGTGACTTACTTTGCACATTTTCTTCTTCCTCTTCCCGCCTCCCGGAGTGCACCACCATCCCCCCCTGGAAACACTGCAGGAAACAGGGGGGCTCCTTTCCCTGGAGAACTTGGACCTTCCAATGTAAACAGAGGTAAATAGGTAACGGGCGTGGGGTTTTCGAAGTCCTAAAAACAATACATGCCTCTCATGGAGAATCTGAAACATATCAAGATGTGCAAACAAAAGACAGTGCTAACACTACAGCCTAAAGAGAAGCTCTGCGAACGCTGCCGTGTGCGGCCTCCTCTCAGGGTGTTACTCAGGGAGGGTCTTCTTTTCCTAAACAAAATCGGAGCCTTGCTTTATAGTGATGTACAGCCTCATTTTCTTTACATAATGTTGTTCTGTCAAGCAACATTCTTTTAAAACATGACTCCTGATATTTTAATGGTATTCTGTGGTTATTGATGTCACAAGACTGATATAAACACATTCTTAACAAGATAGCTCTCAGCAATGAGAATGACTCATCGCTGACTTGGTAATCATTCTACGGAAAATATATGGTTTGTGGCCACCCCAGCAGTCCACTCAGCCTCTCCCTTGCCTTTAGAGAAGGCTTTTCCTTCGGGTGTTATCTGCACCATGAATAATGTTAGGGTTGAGTCACCTCCGTCTAGGACACCGTTACTTAAAGAAGAAATGTTTCCTGGAGCTGGTAGTCAGGGGGCACTGAGGGGAAGCATTTCTCACTGTGAGTTAATTTATCAATCTCAGTGCCCATTTTGCATAACCAATTGCCATTTCTTGGCAGTATTTCATATCTAAAATGATTTTCCAGGGTTGGATCATGGCTCACACCTGTAGTGGTGCACGCCTGAAGTCCCAGCTACCCAGGAGGCTGAGGAAGGAGGACTGATGGAGCCTAGGAGGTCAAGGCTGCAGTGAGCGGTGATGGTGCCACTGCACTCCAGCCTGGGTGACAGAGTGAGGCCCTGTCTCAAAAAAATAATACAAATATAAATAAAATGATTCTCCATCCACTGGATTGGTAACAGGTAAAATGCTCAAATGAGAGAGATTAAGACTCAAACTCTGAGGGTGATTTTGAAGGCATGATAAAAGCATTTTCATTCATGGTCTTTACAAAAAAAAATAAAGGGGGCCTGGTGCGGTGGCTCACGCCTGTAATCCTAGCACTTTGGGAGGCTGAAGCGGGCAGATCACGAGGTCAGGAGATCGAGACCTTCCTGGCTAACACGGTGAAACCCTGTCTCTACTAAAAAAAAAAAAAAAAAAAAATTAGCCAGGCGTAGTGGTGGGCGCCTGTAGTCCCAGCTACTCCGGAGGCTGAGGCAGGAGAATGGTGTGAACCCGGGAGGAGGAGTTTGCAGTGAGCCGATATCGCACCACTGCACTCCAGTCTGGGCGACAGAGCGAGACTCCGTCTCAAAAAAAAAAAAAAAAAAAAATCTATTAATTAAAAAAAAAAATAAAGGGGTAGTTGAAATGATTATTAGGAATAAATTAAAATGCAACTGTTACCAATACCATTTCTAAAACATAGTCCATAGTAGAAAATATTTTTTAGGGAACATGATTGGTTCTTGGGACAGTGGAAGGCTGGGTGAGTGTGGATCTATTTCTGGCAAGAATGTCTCTGCAGCCTTCCCCCCTGCTATTGTTAATCACTCATCCAGGAGAATAAAGAGGTTTGCACATGGCATTGTCCTGTTGTCAAAGAATCCCAGAGTTAAACCTTAATGGCTGGTACTTTGTACTGAGCGGACGAGACCCAGGCAGAGATCATCTGAATGTTAGAGACATGTTTGCAGGCCTCGGATCTGGGCAGCAGTCCCTGCCAGGCACGATGCAGGCCCTGGGGTTAGAAGGCCACGGGGTTGTAAGGCCAGGGCTGCACGGTCTGTCATGCTCCTGGGGGATCATGTAGCTTTAGGTGGTGAAAAGTGCTGTGAAAATAAAGGGATCAAGTGCAGGGACTGAGAATGATGGGAGAATGAGAAGGCTCTGGATAGAGCGGGGGTTGGGGACAGGGTGTGGGTGACATTTGAACAGAAACCTGCCTCATAAGAGGCAGTACACAGGGGTACGTATGTAGAGGCAGTATGGAGTAGGCAGGGGAAGTTTCCAGATAGTGGAATGAGGCATAGGGCAGGAGGTGAGTGGACGGCGGTGGTCCATGGAACAGGAAGAGGCTGGAGTGGCCTGGGTGGAGGAGAGGAGCAGGAGGAGCTTGGAGAGGTGCCCGGGGCCCACCACGAAGGTGCTGGAGCCCCGGGAAGCCACTTAGACTGCAGTGTGTGTGGCAGACAGCAAGGGAGTGACCCAGTCTGACCTGTTCCAGAAAACCCACTCAGGCTGCCGTGAATACAGGTGATGGTTGTTCCCAGTCCTTACATTCACCTGATATTTCCTTCAGGTAGATTCGTGTACATGGAACAATTGATCAAAGTTTTAAGGTTCTCTTGACAAAATTTCAGGATAGCTGCTCAAGTTACACTTCTCACCCAAAACACAGCATCCTCATCCTACTGAGGCCTTGCCAGCTGGCCCTGGATCTGTTTTTTAAAAAATCACCACCATTGTGAGAAGTAGATGATGGCATCTCTTTGTTTTACACACAGTGCCTTGATTGGTTAGGTGGAAACCTTTCAAAGTCACCCATCGGCCATCTGCACTTGTCATGTGGATTTCCTATTTGCAGATACAACATTTTCTCTGGGATCATCTTACAAAAAGTGGGAGGAAGAAAGAAATGGGAGGCACAGCCTGAAATCTGCAGAAGCCAGACCAGGACTGAAGTGCTTTGGGTGACATGGTCTTCCATTATCAGAATCATGTTGGGAGGGACCAGGCTGAGCGCCATCGGCTCCCAGGAGAGGACGCTCCTCTCAGTCCCTGGGGTGTAGAGCTCCCCAGGACTCACCTGGGCCCCCCTTTCCTCGTCCAGCTCCACCGTCATCAGCGCCGACGTGCCCTTCTCACTCACTGTGGAGTGCCGGCCTTGCCAGAAGAAGTAGACGCACTTCTCTTTGCCAGCCGCCCTCACCGAGTGCTCTCCCTTCTGGCGACTTCCCACTGCAAACACAGAATGGCAGACAGACAGGTCAGCAGCTGACACACCTGAGGAGAAGCAAATGTCTGGCTCACTTCCCCAGGGCCTGGGAGGACCAGTGGCAAAGACACAGCCTCAGGCCTGGGGCTGGGGAGAAACCATTGGCACCTGGAGGGAAGGTTGGTCACGCCCAGGAGAAGAGAGAAATCACCTTCCTTCCAGCTCCTGACCCAGAGCTTCCAACGTCGGGGGGGAAAGGATCTGAGGGGCCCTCTTGGTGCCCTGAGAAAAAGACGTGTCATCCGGAAGGGGCGGCAGATCACTCCAAGTGTGCGACACAGTAATTTCTTCAAACTATTTGGTGAGGCCAGGTGAGTGGCTCATGCCTGTAATCCCAACACTCTGGGAGGACTGCTTGAGGTCAGGAGTTCAAGACCAGCCCAGGCAACATAGCAAGACCCCACCTCTAAAATAATTTAAAGAAATTAGCTTGGTGTGACGTTGCACACCTGTAGTCTTAGCTACTTGGGAGACTGGGGCAGGAGGATCACTTGAGCCTAGAAGTTTGAGACCGCAGTTAGCCATGATTGTGTCATGGCACTCCAGCCTGGGTGACAGGGTGAGACTCTCTTACAAAAAAAAAAAAAAAAAAGTACTTGGTGACTGCCAGAGCAGGACCAAGGGCTCACACAGACACAAACGCATTTTCCATATTACGCCACTCTTCGGCAAGAGATTAGCTGGTAGGGAAAAGATATTAAAAACACTAGCAGGGCCAGCTTTAAGTACAAAGGAAAAACTGCAGGCTGTTAAAACTATTCTAGTAAAAAATACAACTTTGAAGTTTTCAAGTTCTGTCAGAAATGAGGAGATAAGTTGCTGACATATCACTTGAGCATAAACTAATCTGAGATTTCATGTCTGTCACCAGGGCTGCTGCCGGGATTAAAGAAAAATTAGCCAGGCATGGTGATGTAGTTCGAGACCATCTGGCCAACATGGTGAAACCCCCATCTCTACTAAAAGTACAAAACAATAGCTGGGCATAGTGGTGGGCACCTATAATCCCAGCTACTCAGGAGGCTGAGGCAGGAGAATTGCTTGAACCCAGGAGGCAGAGTTGCAGTGAGCTGAGATCATGCCACACGGCACTCCTGGGACTACAGCTGATGGTCCCCATGGCTGGCACCACACAGGCACTCAGTAAACATGAGCAGCACAGGAGGCAGATGAGACTGCTTGGTGTGGAGAGCAGTCATGGGGAGGTTACAGGGTCTCCCTCTGTCACCCAGGCTGGAGTTCAATGGCACAATCATGGCTCACTGCAGCCTCAGCCTCCTGGGCTCAAATGATCCTCCCGCCTCAGCCTCCCAAATAGCTGGGACTACAGGCATGCTGTAGTCCCAGGAGTGCCGTGTGGCATGATCTCGGCTCACTGCAACTCTGCCTCCTGGGTTCGAGCAATTCTCCCGCCTCAGCCTCCTGAGAAGCTGGGATTATAGGTGCCCACCACTATGCCCAGCTATTGTTTTGTACTTTTAGTAGAGATGGGGGTTTCACCATGTTGGCCAGGATGGTCTTGAACTACATCACCATGCCTAGCTGATTTTTATTTTTAACATTTTGTAGAGATAGGGTCTCACTATGTTACCCAGGCTGGTCTCTAACTCCTGGCCTCAAGTGATCCTCCAAAAGTGCTGGAATTATAGGTCAAATGGGCATTTTAGACGTCGTTACAGACATCCAAATCTCTACCTGTAAGAATATGTCTCACTCTAGATTCCCTTCACTCATTCATGCATTCAACAAATATTCACTGAGCGGGGACTTCAGGATTCGGGGCTACAATGACGAACAAGATGATGAACAAGACAATGATGAAATTTCTGCTAACTTAGCAACACTTTGCCTTTGAATAGCAATCTCACTCTTCAAATAGTGAACATCTGTTGCACTAAATAGATTACTGAGGAAAGATATGTTTCAAATAGATCATAACCGTTTATAAAGACCTTGAAATCTGTTAGCACTCAAATACATTGTGTAAATACATATTCACACTTAAATAATCAACATCACATCCTAGCATTGCAAAGAGACCTGAGTGTATATACCCAAAACAGAATTGTAGCTCTTTTTAAAATTACTTTTACTTTAGAGACAGGGTCTTGCTCTGTTGCCCAGGTTGGAGTGCAGTGGTATGACCATAGCTCACTGCACCCCTGAACTCCTGGGCTCAAGTGATCCTCCTGCCTCAGCCTCCCAAAGTGCTGGGATTATAGCTGCATGCCACCATGCCGGGCTCATTTTTTATTTTTTTGTATAGACAGGGTCTCTCAGTATGTTGCCCCGGTTAGTCTCAAACAATGTTAAGTGATTTTCCCACCTCAGCTTCCCAAAACTCTGGGGTTACAAGTGTGAGTCTAGAATTTTCTTTCTTTAAAGATATTTTATGAAGCAACATTTCACTAGTTTTCGTGACAGTTTTCCTGCACATATCCAAATTTAGTCCTATATGCAACTTAATTTTTCATATGTGTATTCATTTTTAATTTTGGCAATGTAAAGATTAAATTTTTAGTGGTAAGAACTTCTGGGCTATTCCTTTTTTTTTTTTTTTTTTTTTGAGACAGGGTCTCACCCTGTCGCCTGGGCTGGAGTGCCGTGTGGCATGATCTCGGCTCACTGCAACCTCTGCCTCCTGGGTTCCAGCAATTCTCCTGCCTCAGCCTCCTGAGTAGCTGGGATTATAGGTGCCTGCCACTATGCCCAGCTATTGTTTTGTATTTTTAGTAGAGATGGGGGTTTCACCATGTTGGCCAGGATGGTCTCAAACTCCTGACCTCGTGATTTGCCTGCCTCAGCCTCCCAAAGTGCTGGCATTACAGATGTGAGCCACCATGCCCTGCCAGCTATTCTCTTTACAACCTTGATTAGTTACCTAATTTAAAGTGTGGACATGTTATGCCATAAAGGCACTTTCAAGAATAAGTTTGGTACTAGTAGTTCTATTTAGGAATAACAGAAAACACAAATATGAAGACTGTTCATGGTTAAGTATCCTTGCCTCAGAGCCACCTATTTATAGAAATTAAACCCCTTTCGTGCCCTGGAGGAGCCTGGCTCGGCATCCCTGGGCACCTCGAGCAGCTGTCCCCTCACCCTGCTGGAATGCGAGCAACCCTACCCTGCAGGCGCTGGGCCAGGTCACTGACCCCAGCAGGACGGCCAGCATCGGCCAAGCGGAGGCTCTACCACCTAAGCAGCTGCTGCTTTTTGCTGACCCTCTCCCAGCAGTGCTCCCTGAGCTCTGACTCGGTCCTGTGTGCAGGTGTGCTGACCCTCTCCCAGAAGTGCTCCCTGAGCTCTGACTAGGTCCTGTTTGCAGGTGTGCTGACCCTCTCCCAGAAGTGCTCCCTGAGCTCTGACTAGGTCCTGTTTGCAGGTGTGGCTCTTGTGGGCACAAGTGATAGAGGAGCCGGACGAGTGTCACCAAGGGGCCAGAGCTTCCGCGTTGGCTACAGAGTGACTGCAAGTGCTATGGGGCTGTGCTTCTGCTGCTGGAGGGATGGTCTGGAATCTGAACGCTCCCTGCTTTAACTTAATTCTCTAAAGCTGGACTTTTTCTAAGTTGTAAGTCAGCTGGAAAAGATGTTGTTGGAGCTGGCTGGGAGATGTCCATTGTGTTTATTGGGAAGAAATGTAGAAAGGAATCACCTGGGTCAAATCATATTTCCTAGGGGCCTCCAAGTCAATAGTCCATGAAAGTCTTTGAACTCTTCACTTTATTTTTAATTAATTCACTTTAACAGGTTTACTCATTCATTCACTCACTATTACCTTCTTTTCCCCTCATAACTAACAGCTAAAGTAAGAAAATGGCTAAATTAAACTATGTCTGGTTTTATACAACACGATTTCCCTTTTTGCATTCTAGGAACGGGCACTCCAAGTGCCTTAATTTGTTCTTTAAAGCTCCCAGTTCCATTACTCCAAAGGTGAAGAGATCTGCCTGCCCCAAAACACACTCAATTCCCTATTATTGTCGTCTTTGGTAACCAGCATCAGAGATGATCACTGTACATGCCACCTCTGCACAAGAGCAAGAGCGGAAATCTACGACAGTGACTCTTCGGAAATTATTATTTTGGGGAGATCCATGTTATCTCATCCTCAAGTTAAAAACAGTAATTATGCTGTTCCTGCTGACATGTCAGTGATGAGTATTTCCTGCACCTACAATGTGAACACAGGCCAGACACCTGCTAAACATCATATATACCTGATTATAAAGTCCTGTGAGCTGAGTACTATAATCCCTATTTTCCAGCTGAGAAAACCAAGGCTCAGACAGGGTAACTTTACCCAGCCCACACAGCTGGTAAGTGAGGGCCTGAGATTCTGAATCCCAGGCTGTAGGGCCCCAGCGCCTGTGGCCTTCCCTCAAGGGACACGGCTCCTTACGAGAAAGGAAAGGAGCAGTTCCAATTGCTTGCTCATAAGAAATTAAGCAGATGAGAAATGCCACTCCCTTTGGGAGGCTGAAGTGGGGGATGGTTTGAGCCCAGGAGTTTGAGACCAGCCTGGGCAACATAATGAGACCCCATCTCTACAAAAAATAAAAAATTAGCCTGATATGGTGGCACGTGCCTATAGTCCCAGCTACTTGGGAGGCTGAGGCATGAGGATGGCTTGAGCCTGGGAGGTTGAGGCTGCAGTGAGCCGAGATTCTGCCACTGCACTCCAGCTTGGAAGACAGAGTGAAACCCTGTCTCAAAAAAAAAAAAAAAAAAATGAAAAGAGAGAAAGAAATGTCCCTCCCATTGGGGTTCCTTGTCTGACACCCCACTACTCCCTGGAAGGAGAGGCTGGAGCTGCCTGGGCCCTGGAAGAGCCCATTCCTGCTGTTTAAGAAGCTCCTGAAGTTTGGTGTGTTCAGCAGCCTAGCCTCAAGTTGCTTTGTGCTGGTTCAACCCTGACCTACTCCACGGTCTGGTGACTGGGATCTTTGGCCCATCCTTGTAACCAAACTCATGGCTCCCCACATCCTGTGCTGGAGCCCCACTCTGACTCCCTGCCTGCAGAGCGGGTTAACAGCACAGTTGGGTTTGAAAAGAGGCAGGCCTGGGTGTCAGTGTCCAGCTCTGCTGCCTGCTAGCTGTGTGGCTTCAGGCAGGTTCCCTGATCTTACTCTCCTGGTCCTCATCTGAGAAATTAGCACCACAACAGAACAAGTCTCACGGAGCCCGGTAGGCACTCAGTTAGAGACAGGGTAAAGCCCCCAGCATCATGCCCCAGGAGGCGAGGGGACCTCTGGGCCACAGCCTGGCTCTGCACAGCACGCAACCCCATCAGCCATGTACTCAGCGAGGCCCGCCTGCTGGCTGTTCCTGCACTTGCTTTATGTCATTGATACCACATGCGTCTTGGAGACAGGGTCCGAAATATCTACTTGGTCCCTACAAAGTGTCTTCCATAGAGTAGGTGCTCAGGAAATGTCAGCTGATGAATAGATACATCTTGTATAAATCAGGAAAGAAATCACATGGTTCCAAGCCTGCAGTTTTCTGATCAGCAAACAGCTGCCTGTGCTTCCTGTGGCCCCGGGGGCAGGTGCACCTGCACAGCAAGGGGTCTGTAAAGAGGTGAAAAAACTCTCTTCTGAGTTGAAATCACAGACCTGTGACCTGCATGCTCTCCTAAATGGGAAGGGGTGAGGAGCGCTGTGGGAAAGGCTCCTCCTTGGCAAGGAAAGGGGTGATTTCTCTAGAGTTCACTGGGCTCCCCCTTTCCCCAGCACCGAGCATCCAGGCGAGTGTTTTGCAATAGGGTCTGTCACCAACAGGAACCGAGGGGAGTTTAGACTCTGCATTTACTACACCAGACCCACAAAGCACCATCCGTGCTCTCAGTCTCGGGAGAAACAGCCTCTTTCACTTTTCAAATCAATCTTCCGTGCATGTATTGACTATAATGTTACAGCCCATTTGGTTCCAGCTTTAAATCACGAAGACATGCTGTACTTAACCACTTTAACTGAAGCAGCACACAGCCACATGGGAAATATCATTGAGAGGCCAATCATCTCTTTCCCAGAAAAGCTCTGGGGACAGGGGCAGGGGAGAGCGAGAGGGAGCCGAGAAGACTTGATGTGCAAGTTCAATTTCTACAGGTGAACACCAGCGGCCTTGGCAATGCTAGGTTGTTAGGAATTTGGCCTTCCTTCTTTTCATCTCTGTGGTTTACTAGGTGGCTCTCAAAGGCACATGACTGCAGTGCCCCACTGCACACACCCAGCAGAGAGCACAACAGGGCTCATTGGGGAAGCTGGCTCCCGTAGGGCTGCCAGACCAGCCTCTTTCAGCTGGAAAAAACCATAAGCGCTCACTAACCTGCCGTGCTCACCATGAACTTCCACTTGACCACATAGGCATCCCCCTCGTGGAACTGCCCGATGCTCTGTTTGGGGAGCCTGCTATAGTCGAATTCTAGGATGTGCCAGACATCCACGGAGACACTGGTGATCTCAAACTGCCTCCTGTCGTGTCCTTCCACCAGGCCATAGCCACGGCCGACGTTCACCCCGTCCAGGATGGTGCCTGCTGTCGTCTGGGGCATGGACACCATCTGTGTCACATCGTACGGCTTGACATCAGCTCTGGGGTCTTCCTGTGGGGAACATGAAGACATTGATTCAGTTGCCTGTTTCCACAGCCATTCCTTGTCACACTCAACACTGCTTCAGCTGTTCCTGGGACAGCATAAAAATACAGCTTCCATCCTCTATCTCATCCTCGGATGTTTAACTGCAGTCAGGGAAAGGCTGCATTTCCAGAAAGACTTTGGGAGGCCTGAACACCCATTGCCACAACAGCACATGGATGCCTGAGAACAGGTGCAAACCAGACTCTTCACCTCCCGGAGTCAGATTAGAATTGGAGGCCTGTCTGCTGTTCTACCAGTGAATCCTGGGAAGGCCTCTTAGCTTTAAGGGTGTGTGTGTGTGTGTGTGTGTGTGTGTGTGTGTCCATGGCTTTTTTTTTTTAATTAAAAAAGTATTTTAGTTGACACATGATTATGGGTATGATTTGATGTGTTGATACACACATCTGTTTTATGGGGAAGGGGGTGTGGGAAGGAGATGGGAGAGGGAGGATAGGGAGATGTTGGCCAAAGGTTACAAAATGACAACCAGAGAGGAGGAATGAGCTCTGGTTTTCTCCTGCACAGTGGGGTGACTGTTTTCCAATACTGTATTGCATATTTCAAAAGAGCTAGAAGAGAAGATCTGAATGTTCTCACCACAAAGAAATGATACATCTGAGGTGATGACCATGCGAACTATCCTGATTTGATCATATTACATCAAGGCCACGTTTGTTGGGACCCGAACCAAGCCCTGAGGTTTGAGACTTGGTCCCTGGAATACCTTGTGCTGGGCAAGTTCCCCGGGGTTCTTCTCATTCGGTCTCTTCAGTTCCGTCCAATCCAGAAACTTCTCTTTGAACAAAATCGTTTCATTGTGTTCAGTAAGTCTCCCAAATAGCGCCCAGTCGGGCCGCCCCTGTCCTTTTCTGCAGGGTGGGGGTGGGGGTTGGGAGAACAGACAGGAAAGGAACCAAGATTAAGCCAAGCTTAAACAAAGGAATCTAAAACACATGCGGCTACTGGAAAAACCCTCAAAGTACTTAAGGACATATAAAACAAATGGTTTATTTTCCTGCATTTTACCAAACAATGACATGTTGTTATTTTAGTCTGAAGTCTTGCAAAGCTTTGTGTCCATAGAGTCTTAAATATGCTTGAATGTGACATGAACCATGTCAGGACTAGACTTCTCTTACATTCCAGCAATTTTTTTTTTTTTTTTTTTTTTTTTTTTTTAGAGATAAGGTCTTGCTCTATTGCCCAGGCTGCAGTGCAATTGCACAATCATAGCTCCCTGCAGCCTCGAACTCCTGGGCTGCAGTGATCCTCCTGCTTCAGACTTGCAAACAGCTGGAACTGCAGGTATGTGCCACCACGCTTGGCTGATTTTTTTTTTTTATGTGAGACAGGAGTCTTGGTATGTTGCCCAGGCTGGTCTTGAACTCCTGGCCTTAAGTGATCCTTCCTTCTCAGTCTTCCAAAGTGCTGGGACTACAGGCGTGGGCCACATTCTAGCAAATTCTTGTCTTTGGGATGCCCTGGGGTGGCACGCTGGGTGGGGATTTTGGCAAAGGCAGGAGCCACGGGGAAACCTCACTTGTCTACTTTAGCCGCCCAGTCACCTGCAGACACTCACCAAGTTTCCCTTCCAATTAATTAATAGACATAGGGAAGCTACCTAGCTCCTCCCTCAATTCTCTACTATTTTATGTCATGTTACAGCAAAGCTCTCCAGAGTACGGAGATTCTCCCGTCACTAAAATGAACACACTTTCATAGATCATGAAGTGCCTTTTTGTGCACTTATTTCTAAGCCACTGGCCAGGGCAGCAGACATGGAGAGCACAGAGAAATAGGAAAGAAAACGGCACAGCGCCACCTGGAGGTCTTGTGTGGCCGTAAGATTTCAGAATTTACACTGTCCCCAAGAACACAGGTATTTTAGACAAAGGTAGAGCTGAGAAAATATGCTGTGGAGGGCATAGCTCTGGAATAATATGCACGATCTCTTATCCCTCCACATCCATCTTCGGTTGTGAATCCGGCCCGGGATGCAGCCACCCCTTAGAGCAACCCGCCCTGCTGCTCCTGCCCTGCTGTGCTACTGCCTCAGTGGCTTCCTGCTTGGTCAAGACCACAGCTGCTGATGTCACAGCTGAGGCACGTCAAAAAGGCTGCCTGATTCAAAGAAAGCTGCCGGATAAATCACAGAACACAGACACTTCCACCTCGTGCTCTTGTGGGACTTCGCGAACCAAACATAAGCACCTATGGAAAATGCACGCGGTCTTGAAAGGCTGTGGTCTTTATCAGAAAATATCTGAATGCCTGTCTCTTATGTCAGTCCTACTCCGCAGGCTTGCTAAGATGATGATTGAAAAGGCTCTTGGTTTCTGCTTTAGAATCTGTCGTTTATGTTTTGAAGCGTCTTGAGCAAGCCACGTGGCAGACTGCAGGGTGAGGGGGACGAACCTGGGCCAGGAGCCAGGTGTGTTTCTCTCCCCGCTTCCCTGACTTACAGCTGGAACTGGGCTCAGTGGTTTCAGCCTCGTTTGCTAAGAAGGGCTGGGTGTGTAATCCCGGCTGCATCTTAAAATCCCCGGGAGCTTTTAAGACATATTGACACGTAAGCTCTAACTCACATGAATCGAAAACACATCTCTGGGGCTGGGCTGAGCAAACGCATCTTTTTAAAGGCCCCTCAGGTGATTCTGTCTCAGAGATGTTGAAAACCAGTGGGTTAGGAGCTCCGTCATCTACTTCCAGATCTGTGATTATGCCATTATTAAATACAGTTGGTCATCACACAGATTTTATGCTTTAGCCTGGTTTTCTTTCCTTTGATATACCAAATAAAATCGTTTGAGCTGTAGTTCCAGTCCTTAAAACAACGGTTGTTACCATACTGATGTTAAACATTAGTGCATTTGCTTAAAAGGGACTTGAAAACTTATCGCACTGCCATACCTTTTAATGGTTTCTACAATCATTAATTAATAAGAAAATCAATAATTGGATTTTACAGCAGGAAACTAGGCAGGAAAGTTGAAATTCATAGACCAGTTCAATGGAAAACATTAAAATGTACTGTGTGATGCCCAATAATTCTATGCTGTTTCATGGTTCATTGGTTTCTAATCTATTGTAATGGCACACATAGTTAAAAAGCCTATTTTTTTTGGTCTGATAGTTGAAAAAACAACAATCTTCTGCATGTAAGAATTCTTTTTTTCATAGAGTTTGCACATACTCTATTGAATTGCTAAAATGACTTTAAAGAGTCCAGTACATGCAGGGAATATTAAAATTGCAATCATAATTTTAATACCATCTTCTCCCCCTCTTCCCTTCCCAAAGGTATAAAGACATAAACATCATCTGCTGCCAAATAAATCCTGGAATTTGAGGGTGATGCTGGGAAGGTAAGAAATTAGAAGAAGGCATGTTGCTTTTGCACTTTCAGATCAATGGCTGAATTCCAGACCCGGGAAGCCTTTCAGATCTGCATGTATTTGTTTCAACAATTGCTGTTCGTCTGCCACAGCAGCACCTGGGACGCTGCAGGGGAACTGGCAGCTTTTCTTGCTCACTTCAAGAAATCAACTGTAACAAACCTCTTCCAGAAGACTACAGCATCCATATTTCCACAACAGTTAGATAAAAGTTAAAGAACGGTTCCTTTTGTGACTATTCACAGTCCGCTGCATATAACCGTTTATGAAAACTGAACCCTATAAAGAGCGAGAGTAGAGGACTGTGGTGAGAACGGAGGGATCGAAGGGAATCAGCTCGCTCGGGGAGCCGTCCCCAGGCGGTGGCAGGAGTACCTGGGGATAAGCGGATTGCATTCTCCAGGATCCAGGGGATTGATGTCACAGTTCTCATAGTCAAAGGTTCCATTCCATAAGTGCTTTGCCAGCTGAAATGCTATTTTTCGTTGTGCTAATGTGACTTCTTTCCCATGCCATACATAAACTTCACTACCAAAATCGAACACCAGTACCTGGGAGACATGGTACAAAAGAATATGTTAACTTCAAGAACGTGCAACAGTTGAATCAGGTGCAACAAGGTCTCTGTTGACAGCGACTCAAATGGAGGAAGACAGAAATCCCAATGGGGCGACCAACGCAGACACAAAAACGCCAGGAGATCTCAGCTGGCACTGCCTCGCACAAAATGCCAGGAGATCTCAGCTGGCACTGCCCCGCCAAGCCAGCCTCCACCCTGGGGGCATGATTCCTCCTCCCAGTGTCCTAAGTGGCCAAGATAATGTTCCCGCCTCTGAACTCTCAAACTGCTAACAACTTGTGATTCACAAGAGTTCTTTAGGTACATTGTCCTGTCGACTTCCTCCCTCTCTCCCTTATTCCTCCCCGTCTCATGTGCTCATTCATTCACTTAATATATACACAGAGGCCACTTCCTACACGCCAGGCACTCATGGTCCAATGGTGTTTTCCCTCCTGTACACAATTCCAAAATCCTTAAGGGCAAAGATCAGATCATAACAATACGCACAGGAGGGGTTGATTACGAAGTATTTGCTGAATGAATACATGAATGTAATGCTATTTCTTATTTTCATGGTTCATTTTATTCTTTCTCCTAGAATGATTTCTCCCTTCACTTCCAGCAATTCAAATTTTGCTTAACTCTAAACTCAGCTCAATTTCACTTTCTATGTAAAATTATTCCTGAAAATTTCTTTTTCTGTGACTTTTCCCTCATGTAAATGCCCATACATATCACACAGTCAACCTTGCTCCAGATTACATTCCTTCTAATACTCTTCTGCCCAATTAAACTTAAAGGCCTGTGTGTCTTCCACTTTCTGAATACTTAGCATGCTTAATGGTACTGGAAATGTATGTAATTAATAAATATTTACTACTGTGACAGGACAAAAACAGCACATTAATTGGGAAATCCATAAATTATATATACGTGCATCTGGTGTTCCTCAAACTTAAGGACTTAAAAATGTTTTATTATAATGTTTATGCAAAATGCAAAAGATAGGGCTAAGTAATATTTGTATTTTGCCTAAGACATAAAAGCCTTCAATGATCCATGCCAACTCTAAATGATATTCTGGATTCCATATTAGCATTTAAGATATCAGTAATGGTTTGAAATCACAAATATCCTTTAAAAAACTGTAAATGTTCTACAATGGGTACTGACACTGGCTAACCTTTATTGGGCACTTACTCTTTAATTTATTGGGCAGCCTGTGCTGAGTGCTTTCAATGTGCTTTCTCATTGAAGGGCAGAGCCCACGGACTGTACCTCTTTGGGTTGCAGAAGGGAGCACTTTGGAATTTTCCCCCAGTAGTCATCATCAGGAACAAGTTTGTCATCCATGAGACGGTAAATGCAGTTAGTTTCTATTATGGCTGCTTCATAGAGTTCATCTTCTTTTGGGTCTCCAGCAGCTTGGGGATAAGAACAACAGGAGGGCATCACATTTTACGTTGCAAAGTAGCTGGTTTAGAAGAATGAGCTAAGGGAGAAGAAAGCAGATTCAAGTCTTGTCAATCTCTGAAGTACAATGAAGTCTTACATTGGTAACTGGTTTGGCCACCCAGAAGCTTCCAGAAGTCTTTGGCTGCATGAGTGTGTGTATTAATTCCTTCTTCGATGGTTTGAATATAAGTAGCTCTACAACCAAGTTCCCTCTTTGTCTGAATTAAAGTTGCAAGTTCTGAGGCCTAAGAAAAGAAAGGAATACAATTACCTGGGTAGAAAAGCCCTTGGCTAGACAGAGTGGCACGTGTCAAAACCAGAGGGAGAAACAGTGTGTGCCTGCAAGGAAAGCCTTGTGATCATGGGTGTGGATGGATGCTGGTTACTGGGTATTTTCAATGACCTCAAGAAAATGTAACTGAAAGACCAGGGAGTATCAATTCTTTAGAGCAACAGTTCTCCATCTTCAATAGGTCACATGTGATGCTTTTAAAAAACATCATTCTTTGGGCTTTACCCCGTGACAGTCTCATTCACTAGGTCTATGGCAGAACTTCACAGCTACCTGGGATAAAGGACTTTAAAGGGGGCCACTTCCTTTTTTACACAGGAGTAAGAAGGAACCCAGGATCTAAACACTTGGGTGTAGGTCATAGTCCTAAAACATTCCATTTAAATACGTAATGAAGGCTTGTTTGAGAGACATTCAGGACAAGAAATCCTACCTATCCCTTCTCATTTGAATGCAACACCTGGCGTTTGAGAAGCTTTGTGACTGACGCCAGGAAGAACACTCCACTGGTGTGTAAAGGAGAGGTTAGCTAAAGCATTTTTATTTTTCAGGTACCAACCTTTGCCTTTTCTATGACGTTTGCAAACTCTCCTACCCACAGGAAGCAGCAGTGGGGAGAGAGCAGGAGGAAGCAGTCCCCACTGTTGAGCGCTGAAGCTCGAGGTTCCACCAGCCTGGTCTGCACGTGTCTTCTTCCTGAATACAAGGCAGACAATCACCGTCTTTCCAGACAGAACGGGGACAGGACGCACCCACATTGGAAGCATCTCTGCTGCAGACACTTTCACTTCTAAAGAGTCTTGTCTGCTAATAAGAGTGCCCATGGCCCAGGGTGGCGGCAGGGGGATTTAGAAAGGGCATCATGATGGCGCTAGTGGCTGCTTCTGTGGTTTGTGCTTTCCCAAATGTCACCCGCTTCTCAGGACCATTATCAGTGTCACGTGTGTGGGTTAATGAGGGCTCCCCCTTCCAGGGAGATGAGTGCACAGGCTCCTCTTCCTTCCTTCACTCTTCTCCGGGGGCCTTTCTCTCCCCTGGCCACCTCCTGCACCCAATTACATCTGTGGCCCAGGCAAGGGAAGCCACGCCTTCAGGAAGGGTCAGATCTTCCCCTAGGGAGTTTCCACTATGAACCCTAGGGGCCTCTCAACAGGAAGGATGGAGCCACCACCTTCTGTGGCTTTCAACACCTTTTCCTAAATATTTGTTGATTTTGAGCTTTCCACAATTACACTGATCGTGTAGTCTCTGGGTTAGGACTCAGGACAGAGATCGGTTATTTGAGCTTGTCACTGGTCTTTTTAAACACACACAATAGGACAGCGGTCATGCAGAAAGACGTGGGAAACCCTCCCGGAGGGAGAGGCTATTTCCCCCATTCACATCTGGAGGATTCATCTATACAGTGGCCGCCAGGAGGCAGCCGAGTCTCCCTCCTCATGGCCCAGAGCCCCCCTGGTTTGTCTTTGGAATCTCCCTGGCTAGTCTTTGGAATCTCCCTGGCTACGGACACGAAGGGCACTGGAGTGGAATGCAGGTGGGCTTCATCTGCATCCACCTTCCCTTGATTCTTTCCCCAAGCTGTGTCTTCCTCCCCGGTTCTGTACTGACTCGGGGAGAACTGGGCAGGGAGCAGAGAGCCCCTCTGATGACATAGGGCACCTCTGGTAACTGCATGGATGTTTGGCCACCACGTGGGGCACGGGGCACCAGGAGCAAAAGCTGGGATTCTGGAGTGGGGGGACCTGGGTTCGAATCCAGCTCTGCCACCCAGTAGCTGCCGGTACCCCAGACACATTCCTGCCTCTGGAAGCCATGATGGGCAGAATACTTCCTATGTCATGGGATTGGGGGAAGCTTAAGAGACAGGAGGTTGTATAGCAAGGAACACACACTAGGTTCTCAAAAAGCGTGCGTTCCCTTCCCGGCACAGGCGATGAATTACACAGTCAGGAATCTTTATGTGACCAGACAGAAACCACGGGCCCTGAGTCACCGTGCCAGGCTGCTCTGAAATACCTTTAATCTGCAACAGCATCAGCCTCTTGTAGGGCACAGCGCTGTTGTTGGAGTTCTGTTCCGTCAGGTTGACGCTCCGCAGGCTGACGCTGCTGAAGTTTTCTTTACTGGCTAAACCCGCCAGGGTGACTTCTGAGAAGTCGGAGTTGGAAGACACTGGGCGGGTTGAATAAGGAAAGACAACGCAGGAGGTTCAGTTACAGTGACAATATTTGCAGTCAGAAATTATTCATAACTGACTCAACACCTTTGCCTTTTCAAGTTAATCCTGAAAGGGAAAACATAATCAAGTTTGATTAAATGTGCAATTCAGTGCTTAACCACCGGTTAAGAATTAAATACAGCATTGAAAATATAAACTGCTTGTTGACAAGTGTCACACCGCGCTGTGCAGAGGGACAGGAATTGAGTGATGATGTGGACCAGCCACTTTAGTACAAAACCAGGAGCCGGATTCACTTGTTGCAATTCCACTGGAAGCTGTTATAAATCCTAACAACTTTTAGATGCCCGAATGTACAGATGCCAGATGACTGTTAGACGGCTTTCACCAAAACCCTTTATATGTTTAAAAAAAAAAAAAAAAAGTAGACACTCTGTAAGGGATGATTCGGTGCTAATCTTTATCTGAAGACAAAGTGATCAGCCAGATGGTATCTTGAGGTCTTCGGCTCTTAGAGTTAAGACTGTAATTATAAGACGGGTTTTCAGTGCAAAATAGCAAACATCTGCAGATCGCTCAGTCATCACTAATCCAACCCCTGGGCCCCCAAAAGTGGAGGCAGAGGAAACATATGTAAAATCTGTGCCAACAAACATTTATTTCTCCAACTTATTGTTTTTAAAAATGTATATGCTGGAGAGAAATTCAGAAATTTATTTCACTGGGATTAGCTTTGAAGACATATACCACCACTTGTCAATTCATTATGGTGTTGTGGTTTTGAAATACACTTTTTTTTTTTGAGAAAGGGTGTGGCTCTGTCACCCAGCCTGGAGTGCAGTGGTGCAATCATGGCTCACTGCAGCCTTGACCTCCTGGGGTTAAGTGATCCTCCCACCTCAGCCTCCTGAGTAGCTGGGACCCCAGGTAAGTGCCACCACATCTGGCTAATTTTTTTATTTTTTGTAGAGATGAAGTCTTGCTATGTTTCTCAGGCTGCTCTCAGACTCCTGGACTCAAGTGATCCTCCTGCCTCTGCCTTCTGAAGTGCTAGGATTACAGGCATGAGCCACCATGCGTGGTCTGAAATATACTTTCTTAGTAAACCAGTTATAACGAAAAGACTCAACCACTTCATCTAAATACTATATTTCTAAGAAAAACATGAGGAAATAGGTTTATGAGTGTTATGGGAAAATGAAAATTATAGGAAGATTATTCCCAAAATCAAGATTATGCATGCTATCACCTCAAACCAAGAGAATCATTGTTTCAGAATGATGGAACCCCACATTATTGGGCAGATGAGAGCAGTGTGGCTCAGCCTACAGTGGGAGTGAGAGTCTAAAGCCCATCTCCTCGCCTGCATTCATTGCCCCTAGCCGGCTCCCTCCAGCCCACATTCCAACTCAGAGAAGCTCAGGGTCCTACCAAGAACAATTTGAAAAGCACTGGCGTATGTGTTAGTTAATAATATAAAAATCTAGGATTAGAAACCCCAGCGATTTGAGGTGTTTTACTATAAGAGATCAAATGACTTGCTCTTGAATAAGATTAAATGGAGAATGATTGTGTTCAGGATCTACAGAGCTGAAAATGGCTGAATTACCATACTCAGAAATATCCATCTCTTCTAACTTCTGGAAAGAAAACTCAACAAAACAGGATAATTTGTAACCAGGCACGGTGGCTCGTGCCTGTAATCCCAGCACTTTGGGAGATCAAGGTGGGAGGATTGTTTGAGGCCAGCGAGTTTGAGATGAGCCTGGGAAACATGATGAGACCCCAGTCTCTTAAAAACAAAAACCGAACCCCAGGATAATCTGAATTAACCAGTTGAACAGGTGATACACACTGTGAGAATTTCCATGAAAAATCTTGAAAGTCTAGGTAAGCGTGCACATGTACGTGCAAACTTACCCCTTTTTACTTCATGAGGGTCTTCTGAGCACCATTATTGGCCTTCACAAGGCAGAAAACCAAGCAATGAGTAAATCTTTGGAAGAAACCATTCCCCAGCACAGAAGCAGGGTGGGGGTTCAAATACTCACTCTTTTCTACTTTCATCCGCTTTGACTCCATGAAGGCGACGTTTAATCTCTGCTCGGTGTATTCCTGAAGGAGATCTTCTCTTGCCGCCAGCATTTTCAGGGGATTTTTGGAGGCCTGAACCCGGCGCTTTGGCCTAACTGCGCGCTTGTGCTCGGCCACGGAAGACGTCAATCTGCGGATGGAAGCAGAGCCGCGGTCCCAGTCTGCGACACCGCACCGGGATGACCTGTGGGTCTTGGACTCCACAGGGTATTTCCTGATTTTGTTACAAATCTTGCAACTCCTCCTCCCACCGCCACTCCCCTAATATGGAGTTGTAGAATCTTGGAGATGGAAGAGGGATGAAAGCCCACTGAGTTCAAATCTCAGCCACGCCCGGACGCCTCCACTCAGTCATGCCCCTTGGTCTCTGCCTGGAAGGGTGTGGAGTACTTCCGGGCAGCTCATGGCTCTGCTAGACAGCTCTGGGGGTTAGGAAGCTCTTCCCTCTCCTTACGGCGCCCATGCACGTGTCCTAATTCTCACTTTGGAATCATACACCCATGTCTACTTGTCTGTCTCCCACAAGCCCTTCGGGAATTTGCAGACCACGGCTCCTTGATGTAATCCTCTTCGCTCCGACTAAACTTTCTCCCTGTGCAATAGCTTTCGGTCCCCTTACTGTCTCTCCATGACTAGCTTCCACTCAACTCACTGCCCCCCTCTGAAAAATAACCACTTTTTGGAAGAATATCTGAAATAAAATAGGCCCGCAACCATCTGTGACCACCCCACATTCTCACAACTCTGGGGTGGAAAACCAGACTCGGGGAGGTGAGCAGACCGAGGGAAGCGATTTCCCAACAGACTCCCGCTGCCGCTCTCCACCTCCAGCTGCGCGGGCCTCTGTGCCCGAAAGGCCTCTTTACATACCATGGTGTCAAGTGTGTAATATACATATATGTTTACATTATGATATACAATAATTTAAACAGTGACATTGGGTGGGCGGAAGATTGAGAAATGGTTAAACAGCTATGTATGCAAATACCCAAAATACTATTTTGAAGTAGAAAATAGCAAAGGGCTCATTTTTTAAGGTAGGAAATTAAAACATGCAAACTGAAACAAATTGAGCAAACCGGAATATGCAATGAATTTATCAGGAGCAGCTTGTAGAAAATGGTATATGTCACTCTGACAATTTCGCAGGAAAGACCCGATGGGCGCGGTGGACTGCCCTGGGTGGAGCCTGTCCAGCGTGTCCTCCTCTGCTTCTGTAATAGCATCTGGATTTTCCTTTGGGGAAACCACCTCCCTGTGCCCCCACCGTGGCTCTAGAGGAGACCCAGAGACCCGCCTTTAGCCAGTCGGCATCTTCTCGCCCATTGGCCACAGTGACTGGTTTAGGGATGGGCACGGGACTCCAGTTGAAGCCAAGAAAATCAAACCTGGAAATTCTGCTGGGACTACTGGGAAGAGAAGCTACCTGTGCTGGGCTGGCCAGGGAGGCAGCCTTGTGACTCCAGAGCTGGGGTGTCCATCTGCCGCCAGGCCACTGCCTGATGGAGAGTGCGGCCAGCCCAAAGCCAAGACAGACTGTGTTCTGAGGGGCCGCTAGAACCCGAGGCCACATCCACACTTTTCAGCGAGTGAACCGGTCAGCCCCTCGGCACTGTTCAGCGAGTGAGCCGGTCAACCCGTCCGCACTGTTCAGCGAATGAGCTGGTAAACCCCTCCGCACTGTTCAGCGAGTGAGCGCCTAAACCCCTCCGCACTGTTCAGCCAGTGAGCGGGTAAACCTCTCCGCCCTTTTCTTTTTGCTGAAATCAGTTTGAATTGGGATCTTCTTCTTGGCACTTGAAATTGACGGACTCCTAATACCATAATCACTTTTCCTAGTTGGGTTCGTCATGTTCCCGTGGGAAAAGAAACCCTTAGTCATCACTGAGAAAACCCGCAAATCTATTGATTTTGTAAATGATTGGAAGCTAAGTAACATGCCTTACTGATTTTCTAGTGAGCTGTACTAATTTGAGCCCATCTCATCCAAATATTTTGCAACATTATGAGCAAGAATTCAATATGCCAATGAAAGACAGGCGTTGAACTCTCTGCTAAGTGATGTAAACCTAAAAACTGCAAAACAATATTCAAGTTATGTGAAAAATCCAGTGACGCCCTCTTTATGGCACAGGACAAGCAACTGTGGCCCACACGGTCTGCCTGCGTGCACATCTAGTCTGCATGTTTTATCTGCTGCCAGGCTCCGTGCCCCTGGCTCCTGCAACAGTGTGCCCTGGCTCTAGAATACTAACGCCCCTGTGATGGAGTTAGTAGGAGAAGGAGGTCACATGGGGAAAGAGCCTGGTGGATATGCTGTGTGTAGGCGAAGGAAGCCCTTCTCAGTGGAGGAAAGACGCAGACCCAAATAACTCACTTGGGTGCATAAGGATCGAAAATGACATCGAAGTCCTCGTCCAGCTCCACAGGACTTCTTGGCATATTATAATCCATGCTGCGGTAAAATTTGGCAAAGGTTTCATCATCATCTGGCTTCATCACCTCCTTCACAGATTTGCCGGTGACAGTGAGCACCGTTTCGTGCATCCCGCCAACTATCAACAAAGAAGAAAATGACATAAGAGTTTTATAAAAACAAGACTCCAATTATGCTTCACAATAGTTTAAAAATTCTATTTCCTCCTAAGTTCCAGGAGTGGAAGAAACACGGTTGTGATATACAGGGTCCTGCGGTTGCTTCCCAGGCCCTTACTTAATCTCTGACCTAAAGACTTCCCACCTGAACAAATCTTCTGCAGTAAAATGGTGGGAGAGAGGGAGGCTGACCTTACTGCACACACCAGCCCACTGAACGCTTCTGAACCTGCACTGGCTTCTGCTGAGGGTGGATGAACCAGCCTCGGCCTCATTCTACATCAAGGGTCAGCAAACTTCTACCGAAAAGGGCCAGCCAGTAAACATTTTAGGCTTTGCATGGGGAGGGGTGACATGGGGCCTGTGTTGCAACTACTCAGTTCTGCTGTTATAATGCAAAAGCTACTGACAATAGTTCATGAATGGGCATGGATGTGTTTCAGTAAAACTTTATTTACAAAAACAAGGCTGGGCATGGTGGCTTACGCTTACAATCTCAGCACTTTGGGAGGCTGAGGCTGGGGGATCGCTGGAGCCCAGGAGTTTAGCCTGAGCAACATAGTGGGATTCCATCTCTACAAAAACAGAAACAAAAATTAGCCAGGCTTGGTGGTGCATGCCCATAGTCCCACCTACTTGGGAGGCTGAGGTGGGAGGATTGCGTGAGTCCAGGAGTTCAAGGCTACAGTGAACTATGATGGCACCACTGCACTCCAGCCTGGGTGACAGAGCAACACCCTGTCTCTTAAAAACAAACAAACAAGAAAAAACAAAAGCATGTGGGCAGCTGGATTTGGCAGTGGCCATCGCTTGCTGACCCGCGGGCTAGATTGCTGCATCGTGTGTAATAAATGCTTTGCTGATTGGCATTCCTTGCCTAGCCAGATCAGTGATTAAATTACACTTTTATATGTCTGTTCAGTGGTGACTGTATTATTTTCAACCTTTTAGTGGTCACTGTCAATAGTAGGGACTCCCAGCGCCTAGTATTTGGTAAGTTTCCAGGAATGGACATTTTAATCAAGAGATAAAAGGCTGTTTTTGCATATTGCTCTTTTATTTTGTATACCTCATTGACTTTTATATTGAAACATTTATTTCAATATTCATTTGCCATAATTTTCTTTTTGAAATCATTTGTGATTATATGAAATAATATTAGCTTTTACCTTATTGGAAGTTGGCAACATACAATTTAAAGTTCACCAGGCCCAAGATCACGTTGATTTTGCCGACATATAATAATCTGCTTTCAGAGTTATAAGCAAAATCACTCAGTTCACAATTCCGATTGGATTACACCCCAAGGGTTTAGATTCAAGAAAAAAATGTATTATTGGAAGTCCCCAATTTAGTATGTTATCAAGTGAATCAGGGCTTGTTAATCTAATCAGTCTTGACCAAAACTTCATTTTTTGAAGATAACAACAAAGATAATGATTACAGTATGACTTAGTAAAGCCATAATGGAAAGAAAACAATTTAGCTGAGGAAGAAAAGCAATCAGAATTAGGATTTAAAAATTCTCACAGCAAAGCCTTCCGGCTTCCAGTAGGTACCTTTGTTATTCAGCCTTCTCAGAAAGGTTTCCAGCCTGTCCAACTTCAGGTCCGATTCCAACTGCATATCTGGTCTGGCTTCGATATCTAGGCGAGCAGAAACTGTCAGTGAGACCGCATCACTGAGGCCTCTTCTGATCAGGCTTGGTGTGGCCGGGGCCTTGGTGACTTACCTTCCAGGGGTTTGGAAACGGGTGTGGTGCCTCTTGTTTTACTGCAAATGGGTGAGGCTACTGGGGTTATGGCAGTGGGTGACGCCAAACCTGCGGAACACACAGACGAGCTACTGAGCATCTCAGGGTCACTTCTGGAAATCTCTGGGACCCTGATGAATCTCCAGGAGTCCCAGGGTAGATGGCACAACATATAAGAATGTACACACATGCAGGCACACACACACGCACTTCACAGGTACGGCGACTGTGGGACAACCAACTACAAATGTAGACAGAATTTTATTATTTCCAAGGACTGTAGTGGCTGAGAAGCTGATATTCCAAAATGAATGCTGAAGACGTGGGAAAACATGTCCATGAGACGTTAACTTGGGCAAATGCAGCTGTGAGTTCTGAAGCCCTCTGGGGATGGCGGGGGCAGCTGAGAGTGCACTGGTACCATCTGCAGAATGAACTGTGTCACACTCACCAGCAAGTGACCCTCAGCACTGAAGCTCTCCTTCAGGCTGAGGGGAGGGAGGGACAGTGGCCTTGGGGACATTATACAGACAGTAATCCAAGGAGGGCCAACCTTTCAGAAGAAACCACAGACCAGGGCAGGTCTGGACCAACTGTGCGTGTTGGAAGGTCCTGTTCATCTCCCATGTGGGCGGAAACAGGAAATGCTTTTCCTCGTATATTTACTGAGAAGCAGGGTGAGGAATCTTTAAAAGGGCAAATGGTCAGAGACATACGAAAGGGAAAGGGAGGAATTCCAGCATGAAGAAAGTATCCAGCTGGAAGAAGAAAACTTAGTAAAGAGAAGGATGAGTATCGCTTCCCTAACCTAAGTGGAAGGCATTGGAAAGAAAACTAGTGCATTTACAAAAACCAAAATGAGATGTGAATGTTCTCTGCACTCATTTGTAATAAATGTGAAATCCTTAGATGACATTGCCACTTAGATGACAATGCATCCCTGGACGAACAACATCCAGAGAATATGCCAATCACTATCGCAAGGAAAACCAAATGAATGAATGATTCTGTTCCTTCCTCCTGTGAACGGGAGAAGTATAACAGCATAAAAATTTAATAAAAAATACCATTAAATGGTTTAAAACTCAAGTGTTAGTAATATTCTACAAGAACTTCTCATTATGTACATATATTTGATTGATGATGTCAATAAAACTTTTAAAATTTGTTTCAATTACCAGACCTGCAAAGGGTTTATATCCATGAGAAAGTAAACTTTATTGAAAGATGATAAAGATAAATAAAATCTGGTATCACAGAGTGGGCAGGGAAATCATCACTTACTAGAAGGATGCTTAAGAGACATCAGAGGAGTTTATTAGCACAGAGGCCGTTGGCTCCGCAGCTAATAAGCAGGACTGACTCTGAAGGCTGGTTTCCAAAGCAACCGGAGAAATCCGTCCCTGTCCTGGCCGGTGCCGGGCAAACCCCGCTGCCATGGCTCCCCCTGCTGGTGGTTCAGGCAGTGGCACGATGTGAAAGTGCTCCCCACCCTGCTAAGGATCCTTAGGGAGTGAATAGCTCATGGCGGGGAGATGCAAATTACAAAACATTAAAACAAAACAAAAATCTCCCCGATAGCTCTTTTCAATGAATTCTAGGTACAACAACCAGTCACGTGCTCTCTTAGGGAACATTTTCACAGATGTCAGTGTGGACAAGGGCAGTGGCATTTGGTAGTAAGAACCCACTTGCAAATATATTAGGGTTTTTAAGATGGAAGAAAGAAAAGAAACCAAAGCAGGAAATCATCAAGATAAAAGTCCGGGCTAGAAGTTGGAAAACCTGAGTTCAGGTTCAAGTTCTCAGCTCCAGTTCTACTTAGCCACTCTGCGCCTAAGGAGGTGCTTCTGTTAAAGAAGGGTTGGGACTCACGTTAAAGGAGTTTAAACACGATTATCCAGTTCTGTGATCTGATGCAGGAAATTGGCAAATGGTACCTCATTCTGTGTGAATAAATTCTCTTCTCTTATCTTTTCACAATTCCAAGATGAGGTAAGAATAGATGTGTTAGAAAGGATTCCCCACTAAGATTTGAGTTAATCACAATTCAGGGATTTCCATGCCTCGCTCCTTCCCTTCCTTCCACAAACATTCATTATGTACCTATAATGAGTTAGGTACTCATCATAAAAGTGTGGATCCCTAAAGGTTCTGAGAAAAAGAAAAGCTAAATCCTTAAGTTTGATGACAAGATGTTAAGATGAAGTGCATGTGAAAATGAATACCACTAAGTTGGGAAATTTGCTTTAAAATAATAGCTTAGAAAATGATGGTATGTGCATATAGGTGACAAAGGGAGCCCAAATTTTAACGATTTCCTGCAGGATAGGAAATAAAGTCCCAAACACTCCTATGAAGACTCAAAGCTCTCCAATAACTTTACTAAGCATTTCATATGTAAGTCAGTTTCATACATGTTTGAATACAGGCATCAAATCAGTTCCAAGAGCTCAGCAGCAGAGGACTGTGGCAGGGACATCCCACTGCCTTGGAACTGAGGACACCTTTTAGACATCTATTAAAGCATATACGGAATTGGCTTTGCTCGGTCAGAGAAATCAGGTTTCATGGAGAAGGACCTAGGAATTAACCTAAAAGGAAGAGGGGATAAACTTCTTTACTGTGAAAGGCTGACTTAGGGTAGGTATGTAGTTGCTGGGTCACAAGGAAATGGAAACGACTTAAAAGTAATTATGGGCCGGGCAGGGTGTCCCATGCCTGTAATCCCAGCACTGTGGGAGGCCGAGGCGGGTGGATCACCTGAGGTAAGGAGTTTGAGAGCAGCCTGACAAACATGGCGAAACCCCATCTCCATTAAAAATACAAAAATCAGCCAGGTGTGGTGGCGCATGCCTGTAATCCCAGCTACTCAGGAGTCTGAGGCAAGAGAATCGCTTGAACTCGGGAGGCAGAGTTTGCAGTGACCTGAGATCACGCCACTGCACTCCAGCCTGGGAGACAGAGCGAGCCTCTGTTCCCCCACAAACCTAAATAATAATAATAATAATAATTATGGGGGCTGGGCACGGTGGCTTACGCCTGTAATCCCAGCACTTTGGAAGGTCGAAGCAGGTGGATCACCTGAGGTCAGAAGTTTGAGACCAGCCTGGCCCACATGGTGAAACTCCATCTCTACTAAAAATATTAAAAACGAGCTAGGTGTGGTTGTGGCCGCCTGTAATCCCAGCTACTCAGAAGGCTGAGGCAGGAGAATTGCTTGAACCCGTGAGGCGGAGGCTGCAGTGAGCCGAGATCATACCATTGCACTCCAGCCTGGGCAACAAGAGTGAAAGTCCGTCTAAATAAATAGATGTAATTATGGGAAAGGACCAAAATTTGTTAGCAGATTTGAATTGCTTTTGAAACCTACACTTGCACCAATTCCAAATGGGTAAGTTTTGAAAACAGTGACAAAATGAATTATGTGTCACTGTTTTATGACCTTCAATTATTTCCAAGAATCATATAAAGTTTAAAGAAGGTATTATTTATGAAGAAAAGATATTCAGTAGGAATATCTCACAGAACCTACACAAAAAACATTTATAGAATGTTAGTAAGTTTAAAAAAATTTAAAAGAAGGCTGGGCATGGTGTCTCATGCCTGTAGTCCCAGCTACTTAGGAGGCTGAGGTGGGAGGATCACTTAAACCCAAGAGCTCGAGACCAGCCTGGGCAACACAGTGACACCCCGTTTCTACATAAAGCAAATTTAAAAAGCCAGGCATAGTGTTGCACACCTATAGTCCCAGCTACTGGAGGGGTTGTGGTGGGAAGATTGCCCCAGCCCATGAGTTCGAGGCTGCAGTGCACCATGATTGAGCCACTGCACTCCAGCCTAGGCAAAAGAGCAAGACCTTGTCTCTTAGAAAACACTTAAAGAGACCATGGTTTCTTCTTTTAAATTGAGTTATCATGTACCACCATGCCCTCCATGGGTGAGTGTGCTCACAGGTGTGCATTGTGCGCGCGCGCACACACACACACACACACACTGACCTTTCTTCAGCATCCTGCCAGCCACAGTGAACTGGGTGGAGTCGTTGGCCGCTCCTCTGCCTCTCGTCTTCCAGGCCTCCTCTCTCACAGTGATGAGCTGCTTCCTTTCCTCAATCGTCATCTGGCTCTCTCGACTTTCTGTGA